CTGCTGAAGCCCATGAAGGGAGATCTGATTAGCTGGAATAAACAGGAAACCAAATCACAGCAATGGCTACAGGGTGTTTCTGCTTTCAGCTGGAGAGGAGCTCAGCTGCCTGAATCCCTATTGGATCCCTTTGCAGGCAGCTGCAGAGGAGAAAGTGATGAATTAACATGTCAAGGAATTGTCTGAGACAAAAAAGCAGTGGAACAATCAGAATTGAAGAGAAATCATTTGGAGAACAAGCAGCACATGTCTTTTTAGGTTTAAAGACAGAGGAATTCAGGAAAAGAGGCACTGATATGCCTTCTGCCTTGGCCAGGAGAAACCACCTCCCCACCCCCACAGTGTTTCAAGACCCTTTTCTCTGCTTCTAGATAGTGAAAAAGGAAATTGATCACACAGAATTCCTACTTACCTTCCTTGATGTGTGCAGCAACACGCAGCCAGCACTTTCGTTTTCAGCTGGAAAGAGGGGGGGGAAAAAAAATAATCAGAAAAAATGTTACTATCACATGTACCTGACAGGCAGCAGGAACCAAGCAGAAGGCTCAGAGCAAGGTGAAATATCACTCTTGACAGAGAATGTTCTCTAGAGAGAAGCAGAGATTCAATTTTTACAACATTTCCCATTTTGGAAGTGTAAACTAAATGTAGAAGACGCCTTTGGCATCATCTGGTCAGTTGGCATTTGTGTCTTGCAGCTTTCTTTTTTTTTCAGATTCCTTACTATGTATTTTTACTCTTCGTTTCTCCCCCCACCTCCCCCCAAAAAAAATCATCTAACTCTTAATCCTTTAGGTAAGAGTTTAATCCAACGCCTTGTTGTTTGATAGATTGAGGCTAAGATTGCATGAGTCACGCTCGTTTGGAAACCATTCTTGTCCTCATTAAAGAGTCAACAATAACACCCAGGCACTTCCAAAGGAGCAGGCTGAGAGAGATCACACGCAGAGACTGGAAGATGAGCACATTTATGTCCTGTCAACTCACCACGCTGCCTCCATAAATCTAAGCATAAAGCAACAGAACTCTTGGGAAAGAAAACTGCTGTTTAGAGACCATTAAATGTCACTTAATATGGAGGGGAATTACAGGGAGGGGGGTACCCGGGAAGTTCCCAGTTCAAACTTCCAAGCATCAATGTTAGTGTTTCCTTGGGATTTACCTACAAAAGAATTTTTTGGGGTATAATTAAATAACATGAATAAAAGCCAGTTTTTGCCACAAGCCCAAGCCATACTGCCTGCATCCAAGGCAGCTTCTCTGTAGCATCACTAACACCACAGGTACTGTCAGTGCATCCTTCTCCTTCAAAGACATTACATCATAGAATGGTCAGGGTTGGAAGGGACCTCTGGAGATTAAGTCCAACCTTCCTGCCAGAGCAGGATCCCCCTGAGGCAGGTCACACAGAAACACATCCAGACAGGTCTTGAGAGTCTCCAGAGAAGAAGACTTCACCACCTCTCTGGACAGCCTGTCCCAGGGCTCCATCACCCTCACAGTAAACAAGTTTTTCCTAACGTTGAGGTGGAACTTCCCATGTTCCCATTTTTGTTTGTTGCCCATTGTCCTATCACAGGGCAAAACTGAAAAGAGACTGGCTCCCTCTTCTTGACACACACCCTTCAGATATTTGTGAACACTACTAAGATCCCATCTCAGTCTTCTCTTTGCCAGACTAAATAGCCCCAGGTGTCTCAGCCTTTCCTCATAAAACAGATGTTCCTGTCCTTTAATCATTCTCATCTTCACTCTCACCAAAAAAACCCACTTAGACTGACCTGCTACCAAAATTACACATGAAATGCATGAGCAGTTTTCATTCAAATGAGCACAGTGACAGCATGGAAAAAACCCACTGAAGACCAAAAACCTTTCCAGAGACCAAGCTGTGGAAAAGTACAGAGATGTCACACCGTTACAGTTATTCAAGCAAGTTTTTTGCTTCCTTTCCAGATCTGCACTTATAAATCCTAACCTACAAGAACTACTGCCATCCCCTTCCACCAGCTGACCACGCACACAAGCACCTTCAAGCCTAGTCCTGCTGCTGTCCAAAAAAGAAGCAGATAAAGAACACATGAAACCACCAAAACTAGAAACTGATTTCCTTGCACAGAGAAAGCAGCTTTAACCAAAACCACCCCTGAATAAACAGGAATTCAAGTCATGTCTGTGGTGGGGTTAAAAGGCTGCAACTCAAACTGGGAACAGAGTTGACCACAGTAGAGAAGGGGGAAATGCTTCCATCTCCCACTAAACAAATTAAGATGGTTCAGAGGTTTTGGTTACATCACCCAACTTCTCTCCAAGTTCATTTGGATGCATGTGATTAAAAGCATCACTTACTAAACAAGTCTGCTGGTGTAACAGCCCCAATTATTACTGCTTTTGACACATTCTTTTGGAAAACACAAGCCGTTTCATCTAAAAAATGATATTAATTATTAAAAAGCAAGCACCCAAAGAAACCCAAAACATCAAGAGTTTTCCCCAGGCTCTTCCATTTGTAGTTCTCCAGCACTCACTTACTCAACTCACAGTCTAATTACACATGCTAAAGTATGCTGGAAGATTTGGAAGCCATAAATATTGAGGAGAAAACACGTTTGGGTTTTTCAGCTGCTGCAAAATAGTTCTAGAGAGACAAAATACCCACAGCCCTGAGCAATACCCAGCACAAGATCAGGAGAGATCTGCAGCCTGTCCTCATGGGTGCATGCAAACGCAACACAAATTCAGGTTGGCCTCTTATTGTGCAGCAACTCTTGGTTCCTCTTATCAGTTTCAAGCGTGTATCAATCTTCCCTGCTGACAGCTCTCTCAGGTTCTCATCTCAGATGAGCACAGAGTGCTGCTTTATCAACACAAGCAAAAACATGTAATTACATCTGTTGGACCAGAGTCTTTTAAACTTGTCTAAAAAGCTATTCTGGGTACAGAAACGATGCTTTGGAAAGCCCAGAGCCTCATTCATCATTTCATCCCAGCAATATGCCACTCAGATTTGATTCAAGGAGAGGAGACTGATATGGCCATCACAGTTCTGGGCTGTTATCTTAAAAGTCCACTGGAGTGCTATAACATTAATAAGGGATAGTAGCAAATCCAGTGGAACATGAACAATGAGCTGAAAAAATACACAGAATGTCCAAGTACACTTCTGCCTGGCTTATGAATCACCCAATTTAGTTACTGTGGGGGAATCCACCAGGCAATATGGGAGAAAATCCCTGCAAGGGGTCGCCCATGTCATACCCATTAGGAGATGGCTCAGCTAAAGCCCAAGACCAACCACCACCTGCCTGCCACCCATTTTCTCCTCCTTCACAGCATTATCACTGCTTCCCTTGAGTTACAGGCAGCTAGGATGATGCAACACACTTGACCCTTACACCCCCCACCATGGAGGGGTGTGGACATGGAGGACAAAATGGATTTAGGAAACTACAAATTCACCTTCTCCTGGCAAAGAAGAAGATACCAATCATCCATTATGTCTCTCTACTAGGAGTAATAACTAGATTTCACACCTGAGTATCAGGATTTAGTAAACTTTAACAGAAAGAAGAGGTCAGGGCCACATAAAGTGTTCATGTCTATTTTTGTGGTCCTGCCTGCTGGACAAAGCAGGCTGCAAAAGTCTATTTTAGGCAAGCTAGCTACAGGCATTGTCGTCTCTGTCCTCACATGTAGTTAAAGGAGAGCTGCCAGGGGTGGCCGGCCTTATCTGTTAGGCTGTGCTCCAGGCCCTGCCCAGGGGAAAACCAGAAAGCCAGCAACGCATCTCCAACATCCCCTGGCAGCCACATCAAGGCACCAGGCATGTCCCCAGCTGCCAGGAGGCACGCACACAGGCACGCAGCCCCCTGGGACACGCTCCGCACCGCTCGCTGGGAGGTCACTGCGGTTGGAGCCACAGTGATGAATTGCCCACATTAGACTTGCACTCGTGGCCTCATGTTGGCACATTCCAAGCCCTGCCAGGGCACTGGGGCATGCCTTCTTTTTTTCTTTCCCTCCGTTTGTAGAAGAACAAGACCACTCCAGCTTCTCAACACAAACAGGGAGATTTAATACTTGGAAGGGAGAAATGAAAATTTGCTATATTCCAAAGTGGTTTCATCCCAGCTGCCCTTTACATAACATCCCTGACAGCAATCTGGAGAAATTAAATCCCCTGCCTGCTTCCCCCTCCACCTCCCATTGAGATAATGACACCTCCTGTGCAAAGGCAGCTCTGAAAACAAACCCTTGAAAGTCAAATGCCAAAGTTTAAGGCTTTTCACCTTTTGCCTTACGAGATCTCCTTTCACTTAAGGTCCCTTGCACAGGTCTCCAGTACTACCCGTAACACCTGAGAAGACACCAAAGCCTTTGGAGCAAGGCAGAGGATGTCTGCTGCATCTTAAGGCCATATTTTCTTTGAAAAGAGGAATGGAAATTGGAGAGCAGCAACCTTTTAGCTGTGCAGGTGTGAGAGCACATTTAGATCGACATACACTCCCCAGAACATCTGCATGATAAACAGCCTAATAAAACAGAGCAGAATATTAAGTTAGCACTTCTGTGATTGTCTCAAAAATATCAAGGATCTAGTACCAGTGGAAGTATTTATAGCATTTTTTTGTAATAAAAGAACTCCAAACCTTGTTTTATCTGGGCACCAATTTCTTCAGTGGTCTGAGCAACTCTAAGCCTCAACTACTCATGCTGAACAATACTGCAAGCAACAAAAATTGTGCTGCTTTTAGAATCTGGTGCATTAAAAATATAAACAAACATCAGTACGTGGCACAAGGGGAGCTTCTTAGGAGCAGTGGAGGCACCTCTAATTCTCACTGTCAGGGATTTGCACAAGCAGGATGATCTCAGGGGGATCCTTTGCTTTGCTGTCCTGCCTTGGCTGTAACGAGTCTGGACTCATCCCCATCAGACTTAGGTAATTTTGGTTAAGTTTTATTAGATAACCTTGCCTTAACTATCCCACGTTCCCACAACAGGGCAGTGCTGCAGCAGAAAGCCTAAAATCAGCCAAGTTCATCCCTCTTAAGCCCACACCTAGGTTTAAGGCAGGTGGGAATAAGCAACAAGCTGCACATTTCTGAAGCAGGATGGAAAGAAGCAGGCAGGGGGGACAAGAAAACCCTGCCCAAAAAGAAGTTACTGCTGAATAATGCTCAGCACAGACCCTACTGGGCAGGTGAGGGGCTGTCACCTCACAGCCCTCCCAGGCCACTGGAGGAAAGTATTATATATATTTAATGTATTTTTAATCTGCAATAGGTTTTGTCATAAAGTTTGGGGAGGGTAAAAATGTGGGGTTTTTCCCCCCCCCATGCTAACTGGAGGAACAGGCCACTCAAAATCCCAGGGGAAGCTGCCCCAAAGCAAAGCCAAGGTGAAGCACCTCGCAGGGAGAGCCCTGCCTTGGTGTGGAACCACCCCAACCCCCCCTC